CCTTTTTTCCCGAAAAAAACACAAGGCACGCGCGGACAGGCTACGGCGCCTGGCTACGGGGCTCTAGGGTTGCACGCGGCGGTGGCGGCGCCAGACTCCCGCGGTGGCCGCCCTCCGACGCGGACGGGCCCCGGCGGCTGCTAGCCCTTTACCCATGCCCCGTGCGCATCTCTGTCTCCCTCTCTCCCGATGCGAGCCGGCCGGGGGCTTGGGGGCCGCGGCGGGCGGGGCGGGCGCCTCTCTGGGCGCCATTTGCTTCGGCTCGACTGGGCTGTGGAGGAGCAACCGCCGGCGTCGGAGCGGCTCAGCCATTGAGGCGACCTGACGTGGAAGGGAGTGGAGCGCGACGAGGAGGAAAGAGAAGGTCCTTGATGTAAATTTGCCGTAAGTTTTCGATTTATGGCACATGTTGTGGTTCTTGGACGAGATCTGTGGTGGGGCTGCAACAATCCCTTTGAATTTTAGCTTTTTCGAAGAGGTAGTTTAATTGCTACGGTTTCTCAAATCTTGGGGATTTTTTCTCACCATTTTCTATCACAATTTCTCTGTCCAAATTGGGTGAGCACGCCAATGCCATCATGGCGAACGGGAGGCTCTTGAAGCGTGCGTTGCTTCGCCATGAGCTGTTCTCAGTAGCGGCGCCAATACCACCACGCCGAAGCTCAGCCCGATCAGCAGGGGCTGTGAGACGCTTTTCGCACCACCGCACAGCTACCAGCGCCGTCGTCCGAGAGCTTCCTCGCCGACGAGTAGCCGTCGTCGCCGACGACCTTCTCCTTAACGAGCCCAAGATGTCGTCGTGGTGGTATGCGACCTGCTCGATATATTGCATAGCTCGAGAAAGAGTTCAGCCCTTACAGGTAATCCTTTTTCCCGAAACCAACCATATTAGTCGTTTTGTTGCATGAGTTAGAAACCTTAAACATCCTATATAATTCTTGAATTTTTATGATTGCAGACAGATGGGATAGAAGTATCTGCTTAAATGGATTTTCTCGGATAGCAAAATATCATGTTAGACTTCGAAAATAAAGCCTTGAAGCAACTGCTTGAGAGTCTGTCTCACGAGCATTTCATTAAACACTGTAAGTATTCCTCTTTCTTTCCCGGAGTTTCTTTGGTGACATATGTCTTATGTACTTAGAAATTATGATAGCAGTCAGGTTTCTGATATCTGAGTTTGGTGAATGGATGTTATATGTTAAAATTTTATTTTGAAAATGATTCTTGTGATGGAGCTGTAGATATGTTAGGAACCGATAAAAATATTTTTTTTTTCTAAACTAAGTGCCAACTATATGCCTACTGTTCACATGTTCTTATAATATCTTAGTTCTAACTAAAAACATAGAGGATTACCATATTTCATCAATATTTTTTTCATTCTAGATCAATATGTACCAGTGCCAGTGTGCAACACTACAACTTGACTGATATAAAAAAATACTAAATAATATTCATGTGTTGCAAATGTCAGAATTCCTTTTATTTGTGAACTCAATTTATTTATTTTTCATTCTAAGGTACTATAGAATTCTATATACAACTCAATTTACCGAAACCAAAAGTTCAGTATTCAGATGGGACAAGAGTAACTATCTCATGATCAATAATCCTGGTTTGTTCTAATTGTTCTGAATTTCATTGCATGACTATGATGAATCCTTGAGCTACATATCAGTACTCACTTTTGGGGTCTGTCTATATAAAAGAAAAATAAGTAGAAGGAAAGAGGAAAAAGATATACCTCCCTTGCATGTTTTTTAAGATCCTACTATGTGGTCCTCCTTGACTTCCATGCTTTGAAGTCTAGTTACAGATTCAGTTACTAGCATAGCTTATAGCTAACACAGATAACATATGTTTTTGGCTTAATTTTGATGCAAGGTATGCCAATTTACAAGTCTGTTAAATTTGTATTTGACACATAATATCAAATTAGTTCTGTGCCAAACCAAATATTCACTTAAATCTGTACCCAGTTATCTTATTTTGGAGGAAACACTCACTGCTTGCCGCTCTTGCCGGGTGAAGATCCTCATTGGTACTTCGCAATGTTGGCCTTGGGAGATACACGCGATGCGCTAAGCGATATCACCAACATCGCAGATGCGCTTTCAGTATAAACAACACTTTCGTCTGAATTATGACATCTAAACTTTTGGATGTTTACACAGACACCTTTCATTCAGCGGGTTGAACGGAGAGATGTATCATTTTACTTTGCCAAACTCAAAGCACTCGAGTATTTGTAACCACATGTTTTCAGTCACGTTAATTCTGCAATGAATTTTAGTCAGTGAAGATAAATTTGTGTTTCTGAATTCTGATATTTTTCAGGGATTTATCACACAATAAGTTGGAGGGCTCAATTCCTGATGTTTTTTCACAGCTGCCATCTCTCATGGTTATGTGAGTTTTCTGATCCCTGATGACTTTCATGTCTTAGAGTTTAGCTATAAACAATTGTTAATACTAATCTAATCATTAAACACTACTGAAAAATGATTTTTAGACTGGTCCATAATTTTTAGGACTACGCTACTTGATTTATGGTGGAGGCGGGCACCTGCTAGATGCCCGACCTGCAGCACCAGGATCGCCACTGACATTGCTTGCTCTTTGCGAGTTTTACTGATGGGTACGATTTATGAATGACATGTGTCAAAAGCTGTTACGACGAGGAAATTAATAATTTAGCTTATTATCTGCCATGTACAGCTATCAACTTCACTGAGGATGAAATTCTTGGCGAACATTTTGAAGAGCCGTGGAAACGAATGTTTTGATAGCTTCTCTAAAGATCTCTAAGTCATGATTAAAGACTTAGGCAGAATGTAACTTAGATGGTTAATATGAGAAACAACTTTACTATGCCTTCTTATGCAAAAGTGTTTCTCGGATTGTAAACATGCTCAAATACAATTGTGTAAAAGTTGAACTATGAAAAAAAAATCATTGGTTGTTTTCATGATCCCCAAGATAAAGCCGTGGCGTTAGCACGGGCATTATACTAGTGTGTACAAATGTTTTTTTTGTTATGTATACAATCCATTTATTTGTATTTCGTCATACATAATTGTTAGCGGTTTGAACAGTCTTCCAATATGAAAATCTTGGCTCCGGCCGCCTCTAACCACAGGGCAGTGACGGACCGTCGAGAGAGTCCACCTATAGTTGTGACAGACAACGGCAGACGAAGAAAATACAGATACAGATAGCGAGTGTAGGCCAAGCACGTCTGGAAGAACGTGGTGCGAACCACACAACGCTTACTCGCTTAGCGACGACGAAAACCAGCAGTCTGTTCTTGTGGTTAGAAATGTACGCTAAAGATAAAAGAAGAGCAAAACACGCGTGCAAGCCAATTAAGACGACCTAGCTTATTGCCCTTTTCTTTTCCATCTAGAAGAAGAAGAAAGACCTAGCCAGGCACCGCTGCTTGTAGTTGTCCTCCACTGCATCTGCAGCGACCCAGAGCAAAGCAACCCCTTCCTCTCCGATTCTTGCTGTCCTGTCCGATCCTCCCAATCTATGTTCTCTATTGCCTATATAAAAAAATTTTGAAGCCAAACGCCAATTCGACCGTTATTTTGACTCTAAATCTTATCGGATCCTTCTCAACGCTACGATCCTTCTTCTGAGATACTTCGGTTTGTAAACATCGTACGTGACAAATTGTGCGAAACATTCTCAATTTTTACCACAGCCTCCACATATGATATCATCACATCACGAAAAATATCATAATTTTCAGACTTCGTTTGTTTTTTTTTATAATTTAAAACCAATCGGCCACACGTTAAGTGGTCGTGTTTTTTCGACTAAGATGTTCGAAATTTCTTTTTATTTCCCGGATAAGGCCTCACACCGGACTCAACGACATGAATATCATTTTTCTATTCATTTTATTTTATTATTTGAATCACTTGCGGTTCAAATTTGACTTATACCAAAAAAAATTCTAGAAATGCAATAAATTAATTAAATATAGCAAACAGATCCAGAAATATACCAAATTTTAACATGGAATACCACATGTTGTACGTGGAGAGTAGAAAATGTTTCAAGGTCAGAAGAGAAAAAAAAAGAAATTATTTGCCGAGTGCCACAGGTTTACCCTCGGCAAACATATTTCTTTGCCGAGTGCCACAGGTTTAGCACTCGGCAAACATATTTCTTTGCCGAGTGGCTCCCTTTGCCGAGTGTTTTTTTTTGTCTCTTTTGCTGAGTGTATTTGTTTGTCGAGTTTTCCACTAACGGACACTCGGCAAACGTACTAACGGACGGCACACGTACTAATGGATGTGGACTTTGTCGAGTGCCTAGTTTTTGCCGAGTGTTTTTTTTCTCGTTTGACGAGTGCCCAACTTTGCCGAGTGTTTTTTGCCTATTTTACTGAGTGCAATTATTTTTTCGAGTGTTTTTATGACAGATTTGGGCAAATAGCTTCTTTGCCGAGTGCCCGATAGAATGCAATAGGCAAACATTTTAGCACTCTGACAAACAACCAGTTTCCGGTAGTGGTTGTTACCATAAACATACACCTTATAATTAAGTAAACAAAAAGACAGTACAGGAATGTACAGTAAGCTTTTGTTAGGGGATGAGAGGCAGAGGCAATAATCGAATCGATGATGACCACACTGACACACGCCTGACCGCTTCTACACGGAAGGTCAAGTCGGCAGCAGATGACGACGGAGGGAGTGCGCGTGGGCCTTCACGCAGATGCCTGACCGCTTCTACACGGAAGGTGGGCCTTCACGTGGGCCAGTACGAAGTTGCCTGACCGCTTCTAGATCTTTCCAATTCCGACGACCTCAAGTATGTTGACCTCAAGTATCTAGATCTTTCCAATTCCAACTTGATCTGCAGTATCCTTTGCATCCACCTACTATAATAATAACACTCTCACTCCAGGACGGATCCACCCGACTCCAGAACTGATCCTGCCATTCTCTTCTACCATAGCGACATTATTGTCGATGGTTGCCACCATGCATTGCCTAGCTGCTACCATGCTCGTGTTGCTCTGCTGCTGCTGCTTGTTCCTCGCCACGCAGCAGCAGCAGCAGCAGCAGCTACAGCCAGCCGCCGGTGGTAACAGAGAGAGCCCGAGCTGCATACCACACGAGAGGGACGCCCTGCTGGCATTCAAGGACGGCGTCACCAGCGACCTTGGCGGCGTCCTCAGCTCGTGGCGGCGAGACGGTCGCCACGACGAGCAAGACTGCTGCAGGTGGAGAGGCGTCCGGTGCAGCAACCGAACTGGCCACGTGCACGAGCTTCGACTTGGAGGTGGAGGCACCTTCCAACCAGATTTGGCCGGCCAGATAAGTCCTTCTTTGCTTGCTCTGGATCACCTAGAGCACCTTGACCTCAGCAGGAATGATCTAGCAGGGCCAACGGGTCGTCTTCCCGAGTTCTTGGGTTCTCTAAAGAATCTCAAGTATCTTGACCTCTCTGGCATACCGTTCTATGGTGGCCTACCTCCCCAACTTGGCAACTTGTCAAGGCTACAGTATCTAGATCTTTCCAACTTATACTATGGAGGCATGAACTCGACGGATCTCTCATGGTTAACACACATTCCTTCCATACAATATCTTAACTTGAACAGAGTGAACCTCAGCAGCACAGTAGCGGATTGGCCTCGTGTCATGAATATGCTTCCTTCTTTGAGGGCGCTCCATCTTTCATTCTGCTCTCTTGCAAGCGCAAACCAGTCACTGCCACACCTGAACCTTACATATCTCGAGGAGCTGGATGCCTCCCTGAACTCCTTCCACCATCCAATGGTGACCAGCTGGTTCTGGAACATAACAAGCCTTAGATTCCTTTACCTCAACTACACTAGTATGTACGGTCAATTTCCGGATGCTCTTGGAGACATGACATCCCTGCAAGTCCTTGATCTTTCATATCTTTTTTATTATCATGATGATGACAAGAACATGCGCAGCATGACCATGGATCTGAAGAACCTATGCAATTTGGAGGTCCTGAACCTTGAATGCACTCTCTTATATGGTGACGTAGCTGAGCTGTTTAGGAATCTACCTCGATGTTCACCCAACAAATTGCAAGAATTGGACCTCGGTTCAAACCATTTAACCGGATGTTACCAAGATGGATAGGGCAATTCATGAGCTTGGTCATTCTAAACTTCAACTGGAACAAGATCACAGGATCTCTCCCAACATCTGTAGGACAATTTACTGGTTTGCAGATCCTTGACCTCTCTTTCAACAACCTAAACGGACATGTCCCATATGAGATTGGAAAGCTTAGTAATCTGACCTATCTGGATCTAAATACAAATAAACTAGATGGCACGATAACCGAGGAACACTTTGCTAGTGCAAGGAGCTTGCAATATATAGACTTGTCATATAATGCCCTCAAGATTGAGATCAGCTCGGACTGGCAACCACCATCTACATTAAAGTATGTATCCTTTGCATCCTGCCAGATGGGCCCACTGTTTCCTGGGTGGCTTCAGTGGAATGTGAGCATCACCTATCTTGATATCTCGAGTGCAGCTATAGCTGATAGGATTCCACAACGGTTCTCCGATGCCTTTTCAAATGTTTGGTTCATGAACATCTCCAACAATCAACTCAACGGAACTTTGCCGGCTGATATGGGCTCCATGTCACTTCTAGAACTCTACCTTAGTTCAAACAAATTAACTGGTCAGATACCCACGCTGCCACCAAACATACATACCTTGGACTTGTCCAATAACTTCTTGTCAGGACCTCTGCCCTCTGCTACTAGATCCGCCAAACTAAGACAGCTTTCTCTGTTCTCCAACCGACTCACTGGTCATATTCCTGAATCTTTTTGTAAATATCAGCAATTAGTTGTGTTGGACTTATCCAACAATTTTTTGGAGGGAGAACCGCCGTTGTGCCTCGGGGTAACGGAATATATGGAATTTGTAGCCTTAAGTAACAATAGTTTGTCAGGAAAGTTCCCGTCTTTTCTGCAAAAATTGACAAATGTGCACTTCCTAGATTTGTCTTGGAACAAATTCTCTGGAAGATTGCCAATGTGGATTGGAAGCTTAACATCATTAAGAGTTATACGATTAAGTCACAACAAGTTCTTTGGCAGCATTCCAATGAACATCACAAACCTTTCTTGCCTTCAGTACATGGATCTAAATAACAATAAGATATCAGGCTCTCTGCCGATCTACCTATCAAATCTTAAATTTATGACAAACACATACATGATGGGTTGTTATGATAGAACTGAGATAGTTTTATCTCATCTTAATAGTTTGTCTACGGTCTGGAAGGGGCACGTATTGAGCTATGGTACCATTCAAAGAATTGTGGAGACAAGTATGACGAGCATTCATTTATCTTGGAAGGGGCAGGAATTGTACTATGGTTCCATTCAAAGAATTGTGGAGACAGGTATGACGAGCATTGATTTATCTTCAAACGACTTAACCGGTGAAATTCCAGAAGAAATAGTTGCTCTTGTTGGGTTAGTGAATTTGAATCTGTCAAGGAACCACTTGACCGGAGTTATTCCAAAGAAGATAGGGGAAATGCGATCACTGCAATCATTGGACCTCTCGAGGAACATGCTTTCAGGGGAAATACCAGCCAGCCTGTCAAATCTGACGTTCTTAAGTTACTTGGAATTATCATACAACGATCTTACAGGAAGAATTCCATCGGGAGTACAGCTTGATACCCTGTATGCAGGGTATCCATCTATGTACATTGGCAACATCGGTCTTTGTGGACATCCTCTTCAAAACAATTGCTCGAGTGAGCGTCATGCACCAAAGCAAGGTGGCCTGGGAAGAACTGAAGAAGGTTCTGGGATACCATTCTTTTATCTTGGACTCGGGTGCGGCTTCGTGGTTGGTATATGGATTGCATTTGGTGTTTTGTTGTTTAAGAGAAACTGGAGAATTGCTTGCTTTCGATTCTCGGACAAGTTGTACGACAAAGTATATGTCCTTGTTGCTACATGGGCCAGAGCAAGACAAACACAAACTGATTAGCAAGTATGAAGCAAAGGCGATGGTCGGCGTTTCAACTAAAATTAGCCAATGCATGCATGTATGAATAATGGAAGTGGGAGAGAAGTCTTTTCAGGAGTGCTTTGAATTTTGTTACTACCAGTATTACATATTGCCATGGTTTTCTTTACGAAATGAAGATTTGTGTGTCCGTGTTTACTCTTAAATCTTGTAATAAACTGAGAACCGACACTTGATCATTGGCCAACATTAGTGTTTGTTGTACAAGATAGATATTAGTTGTTAGTATATAGATAACATAAGTATGTTGTAAACTCTGGCTGATCTTCAGGATGTTGGTTTGTAGTCTGTACAAGACGTTCGCCTGGTCAGCTCAGGGTGCTATATAACACGTAGACGCGGCCTTTACAGAGGTTAACACGCTTCACCAAGTTTTACAGTAATAATTATTTCCTTATGATGATGAACATTAAGACATGGTCAATCAATTCCATGTAGCACTTCACTACATCATTGGTCCCTGTGGGCCATGGTAGTCGGATCCGGGCAACCTGAATACGACCTATCGTTGCATGTTCCACGCTCATCGTCCACATTAGGGCTTGTTTGGCTGCACCTGTATCCACCTTAGTCCACGTGTGTTGAAGTGGATTGAGGTGAATACAATGTGCAGCCAAACAAGGCTTGGCATGCCGTGGAATTTCAGTGTACCTAGGCGAGGGATGATATGAATCAAAATATCATGGTCTCATCTGCAACCAGTGTTACATATAAGCAACATTCACTTACCATACACATTGAACAAGAAAGCAGAGAACAAGGAGAGCAAATTTCTCAGAAATTGAAGAGCTCAAGACGTGAGCACCGCTTAACTGGTGGAGCAGTAGTATACTACTGCACCTGCAGTACCGCTACCTACAAACTGGAGAGCGCTGCTAGTCAAATCTCAAATGGGGTGCAAAATGACTTGGGGATAGTACTCCAGGCACATTTGAGATGATGACTTTTTATGATCAGGCAAATAAAGAAAATAAAGTTTTCATTAAAAAAAGTTTATATATAGTCACCAGCATGATCTTTGTTACGTACCATCGCAAGGGAATAATCATGTTCAATCTGCCCACACTCGACTCAACACAAAACTGCTAATATGGTCATAATAAAAAAACGAAAACTGAACCACGAAATGACGATGGTCCGGTTCTGGTTCTCTTCATCATAGACGAAAAGCAACACATAAGGCAGTCTAAGATGATAAACAAATGATTTATTCACAGCTCTAAACAAGTTATAAACTAAATCAGGCACCACCAAAAACAAGAACGCAACTTCACCAAAAGGCTACAGATCGAACTGTGTAACCTTTATAGAGTAAATCTTAGCAATTCCAACTTTCCAACAACCAGCGGCCACTTGCAGGTTGCTAGCTGCAACGGCTGCTGCTGCATCTCTCCCTTCCATAGCTACCTTTTAGGCTTTTACATACCACATGCTGGGACTTGGACGGCGCTGGCGTCGTCGCCACCCTGACCGGCCGTGGCCCCGCGGGGCTATTTTTTCAGTGGAGCGAGACGACGACGTCTGCGAGCCGGCTTTCATGCATGTACGGCGCCAGTGACGACAACGCCCTGGGCCTGTCGTCGGCCCTGTCCGCCCGCAGGGCAGTTTTTCCAGCGGAGCCGGAGGAGACGACTCCCGCGAGGCGGCTTTCACTGACGACAGCGCCGGGGACGCCAACGTGAGCCGCCAGTGCTTGACGCGCGGGGCGAGGTCGTCGGCGGGCCCAGGAGTACGTGGCGACGGTCCTCTTGACGGCGGCGGTCCCGTTGGTGTTGAGCGGAGGAGCAAGAGGAAGCCATGTGTGCAGTGTGCTGTGGGCCCTAGCGCGCTTAGCTTCCTCGGCGTTGGAGGGGGGAGGCGACGTACCTATGCAGTAGAGAGGCATGACGGTGTGGTGCGGGCGACAGCTGCTGGCTTTGTGTAGTGAAGGCGTGAAGTAGGAGGATGTCTCACCTCAGACAAACGTGGTCGTCACGATTACTATTGTGCTGAAATTTTATTCTGGGCAAAGGAGTACAGCTCAGGGAAAGCATTCAAATGTATCTGCCCATTCCATATGTCCTGCCAAAAGAGAGTGGAAGCCCCATTGTTTAAACTGACATTTAAATTGACAGTTGACGATCCCTTGAACGTGTATAAGAGTTTATTAAGTGCATCTCTCTCCAGCAGATGGATCCCTAATTGGCTACTTCACGTGAGTAGGCAGCTTGCCATTTCTGTAGTGCTTCTCCCAAATCAAGTGAACCCATGGAACATCTAACTGACTGAAAAACTTATGAAGATGCATCAAAAGAAGTGCCTCATTTGTGTTTTTAGGTTTATGACCCCCAAACCACCTTCAGTTTTAGGCGAGAGGGAGGCCAAGGTAGGTAAATGGCATAGAACCTTCTTGAGAAGCCAAAGTTGAATTTAGTTTGGAAGCACTACCAATAGACTACAGCACCGCTCCAAATATAGTTTTGACAGCTATATTACATTATAAGTGAGCATCTAAAAAATTAAATTCGCTTTTTATGAAAGTACTTTTTAAGACAAATGTATGCATAACTAAATACTTTTAAAGTTATATATAATCAAAGTTTTTAAAATATCTGACTTAAATATTTCATAAAAAAGGTCAAGACTTTGGAAACGGAGGAAGCATGTATGTATTTCTTCTAATATTAAAGAAAGAACGTTTTCTTGGTTTGGTTCGTCCTTTGCTTTTAGAACCTTTTTTTGTGTGTCTCTCTCGTTTGATCTAACCTGAATACGAATACTAATCCTAATCCTAATAAAAACCCTAGAATAGAAATTTGGATTCGTCTCATTAAATCTGATCTAACCTGAATACTGAATCCTAATCCAAATAAAAAACATAGGAATAGAAATTTGGCTTCGTCTCTCTGGTTTGATCATCTAACCTGAATATGAATCCTAATTCAAATCCAAATCAAAACATAGGAATAGAATTTTGGCAAATATAAATTAGACCAAGCCAAATCAAAAGGGGTGGAATTTAAATCAAAAGAATCTTACTATTACTATTTAGAAGCCCAAACAGAGCCACCACGTTAATTCCCACCAGATGTGCGAGAGAAAAAAATATAAATCCTAAAAATTCCATGGCTGACACATTTATATACTGAATGAATGTTTGTGATAGAACAACTGAATGACTGTTATAGATCATTGCATATACTTTTTCACCTAACAAACCACCAAACAGATCCCAAATTACCACAGGAAATTGCAATCCCCACATCCAAAATATCTACAACTCAAAAGGGGTCAAAGGCATCACCTCAGCCAATTTAATTAGCTTCTCGATGGTTTCATAAGCCGTCGTTGCCTTGCAGCGGTCGGCCAAAAGTCCTGCAGCTGCGCCTTCTAAAAACATGTAGCATTAGATGCTATCAGTATTCTTAACAATTTACAAGAGCATGAAGCAAGTTAATTGATTTAATATAAACTAATTTGCCTGGCCAAAAAAGATTTATTGGTCTTTAAATAAGCCTGAGGGCAGTAGTACCATAAAAAACAAACCAAGCTATCAGGATTACAGTTGACGCTACAACTTTTTACAAAAGATCAAAGATTAACAAGCAATGAAATAACTGGAGGAAATTCCTTACTGAATCTACTATCTTGTACTGAATTTTCCACCAGCACCTACAGCATCTATCAGAAAGTTACTTGCATTGCATTATAGAACAGGAGGTAGGTGACAAGCAAACTAATTTCAATCCTGCTCACAGGAATTATATGCCCAAACCATCATTCACAGAAATCCAAACAAAAACTACAAATAGACCCAACTGCACAGTGCACAAAAAGGCATCGGCAATCACAAAAAATTCTAACAATCATAGTCGGATGGGATTTCAGATACCAATAACTGCGGAGACAGATCTCAGCAGGGCCTAGCGCACACCAGACTCCTCCAAACCTAGAAATTTGAAAAACCTACAAGCACATGCATCCACCAGATCAAACCCCTACCAGCGAAACCCTAATGAAAATCACAAACAGCAGCAGGGGCACACCGCCGCTGGTGCTATGCGGTCTGGCCATGCAGGGGAGGGCATGTCTCCGCCCCTGCTATGCCTATCCGTGCCCGGGAAGGGCGCGCCGCCGCGGCCGCTATGCCCTCCCGCGTTGGGGAGGGGCGCACTGCCGGCCTCGCCGCGCGCCCCGCCAGCGTAGGGTAGGTGCCCGCGCAGGGGAGGCATGGGACCTGAAGTATGCGGGACGGGGGCGTGCGGTGGCTATGGGTGGCGGCAGATAGGGGAGGGTGTGTATAGTGGATGCGAGTGGCGGTGGATGGGAAGGGGCAACGCAGTAGATGGATGTGTGTAGACTGTGGGAGGGAGGCTGGTGGATTAGGTTTAGAAAATTTCTTTTCTTTTTAATTTTTTATTACAAGCCATCACAGTTTAGAGCGTTCTATCACCTCGTATACAAACCGTCTCAGATAAGGACTTTCTATGACAATTTCTTATAACATCATTTTGAAACCATCATGTATAAGGGTATTTCTTGTAGTGACATGTCACTGAGATGGAAGTTGCGTGTCAAAACTGCTCAACGTCGGTCAAAACAGCCTTGCCCCCGCCCAGGTGCTAAAAGTGAACGGTTTTAACAGTGGGATACCGGTACTAGACGGTTTTGTAGTTGAGGGTTAAAATTAGACCGACACAATAGTTGAGGGACCAAAAGTGGACTTAATCCTAATTTTTAACTAGAGGTCCCTGATGGAGCCTCCACGTTAATGCTCATAAGACTCGATAGGAAAATAGTATATAGATCCTAGAAAATCTCACAAAATTTGAAAACATCTGGCCATCAATTCGATATAACCTAATCACCATTCATAATAATATAATAGCTCTCGGAACTATTTGATTTTCTAAATAATTACCCACCTTTGCTATTAAATAGAACAATATGAAGTAACCAATGACTCTATGTTTAAACTACCC